GAAACACGTCATGCACTCCGGACAACTGCGGCGGTAAGGCTAAACGATAAGCAACCTCGCCAATCCTCGTACATCCCCTTTCTCCTCCTCTACACATAACGTATACAAACACATTGGTTCTATATACAATCACCCAATACATACAGTTAATGTATTCTATCAACCGTCAATTCCATGACCCATTCCATTGATTAGTTTCCGTTTGCCTAATCATCATGCATTGTCTACAACAATCACGACTATCCTCCACCGATAGCCCAAAGCAGTTATTTCTATACAGAAAATAAATGCAACAATGGATATATAATCAACATTTCAACTAGGTGAGTGATAAATAATCCAACTACACCCTTTAACCCTTTCCCTTTTCAATATCCACTTTCTCAATTCAATTCCTCATTTCCAACAATTAATTATACAAATTAATCAATCAATGTAATTGGGCATTTTCCATAATTAACATTACGACCCTTAGGTTCCATTTTCATTAATGTTTTATCATTAATTTCACTTTTTCCATGCCAAACACGCATCTAGGCTTTATTTAGCTAAAACCCCAACCTTTGTAAATTTGCACAAAAGCCCCAAATTTTCACCAAATTACCAAACCAACCCCAACATCTCAAAATACTAAAATTTAAAGACAAAGCTCATAGAAAGGAGTAGGATATCCCTACCTCAAATTCGGAGCTCAAGGGGTGAAGATGAAGAAACTAAACGTGCTCCAAAACTCGAAATTTTCGGATCAATATAAAGCCCTCGACGATTAACCCAACTTTCGTAAAGGCCAAAGATGAGCAAATCACTCCTACTAGATCAAATCTAAGAGAGAATGGCCGGTTCTAGAGTGAGAAGCTCTGAAAATGGCTTTTTGGAAAAGTAAGAGAGAGGAAAGATCTTGAAAAAGTGATCCAAAAGTCGGATCTCAGATTTATATAATAGTCGCCCCGCTCAAGCGTCAAACTCCCCGCTTAAGCGGCACTCACAGACTCCCGCTCGAGCGGCCAATCCCCCGCTCGAGCTCCGGATGCACACTCCCAGAACTTTTACAGAACCAGGTCTCCGCTCGAGCGTCAACCCTCCCGCTCGAGCGTCACATACAACAACCCGCTCGAGCGTCAAAACTCCCGCTCGAGCGTACAACTCTGTAGAGGAGAAACTGGAAGATGGAAAACTACAATCGAGCGTCGAAAACCCAGCTCGAGCGGACAGACAACAACGAAGGGCCCGCTCAAGCGTCAGAATCCCCGCTCGAGCGTGAAGGCCAAAATCTGGGCAACTACTCTTGGTTTCTAAGTTCAACCAACCTGCTTCAAACTCGCCCAACACATCCTATAACTCGAGTACAAAGTAAGAAAGGATGTACACCAGATAATAATCAACTACTATCATCCACGGACACATGTCCGGATCACTGTACAACAAGGGTAAACCCGGGATCGCTATACAAAGCAACTTCAATCCTTTTTAGGAATTTTAAATTAAGCACGAATGTATATTCCTAACCTTAGTAAAATAATAGGACCCCTTTATAGTAAGACCACACCCACAGGACAGAAATATTTCAATCAGCAAGATATAGCTCTAGTTAGAAAAATAAAAGACATTTGTAAAAACCTACCAGACCTACAACTTCCCTTAGAATTTGAATACATAGTTGTAGAAACAGACGCAAGTCAATTAGGATGGGGAACAATATTATTAGCTAAACCCAGTAAATATGACAGTAAAAATAAAGAACGCATTTGTAGATACAGTTCTGGAAAATTTAAAGAAAAAGATACAACTATGACCAGCCTAGATTTTGAAATACTAGGAGTAGTATACGCAATAAATAAATTTAGATTATTTTTGCACAAACCTTTTACAATAAGGACAGATTGTAAAGCCATAGTTAGATTTCATAACAAACTAAACGAGCGTAAATTAAGTACTAGAAGATGGGCAAAGTTTTTAGATTGTATAGTAGGACAAGGATATAAAGTAGAATTTAAGCATATTAAAGGAAGCGATAATAAATTAACAGACTGGTTAAGTAGAAAAATTTATTTAGAAAAAGAAGATAACCAGTTTAATTTTTGTGCAGATAATGGAAAACAGCAAGACCATGAACTTTGGGGGATTTTCTCTTCCCATTCATGAAGGCAGAACCAAGTTCAGACCCTTAACAGGGATTGAATTAGACCCAGTTCAACAGTGTCTTTTAGATAACCTTTGGACCAGCCAAAACCACCCAGCTAAGCGCCTTTCAGCCCTAAACTCTCTCAGTATATATTTTTCAAAAATCCAAAACAAGCCCTTGTCTAAAAGTTTTTCTTTCTATGTAGTAGCTAAAGGAACCAAGCCTGGTATTTACCATGCTTGGACAGAAGTAGAACCTTTAGTCAAATATTTTCCCACACCTCAGTTTAAAGGATTTTATGATTTTGAGTCAGCCAGTACCTATGCCCGAAGACAAATAGGAACCAATTACTTTATTAACGACATAGCTAAAGATTACCTGGACACATTGAGCAAGATGAGATCTACCATCCTTGCTACCAGTGGAGTTCCAGTTAGCCAGCCAATTGGAAGCAGTAGTACAGGCAGCAGTAGTTCTAATCCTCAGATAGAATCTCAGAATCCTCTCCAAATGTGCAGACATTGTGAAGGCCTTTCCAGAAATTTCAAGAAAATTATGGATAAAGGCAAGAAGGTCAGTGAAGAGCTAGACCAGCTCCGAGACGAAGAAAAACAATTGAGAGCAACCGTTCGAACCCTAACCAACCAGCTTAAAAAATTAGCTCCAGAAAGAACACCACCTCCTTACCTAGCTCATAAATCAAACAACTCACTAGTGAGGAATTTGACCAATTGAGTGCTAGAACGTATCTCTTCAGGCATTCTATCATTCGATCCCTTTGTGAGAAAAGCCAAGTAATGGAAGACCTAAAACCCTATATTTATACCTTAGCCGGAGATAGCAGAAATAACGAGTTAGTCATTATTCAGCAATTTCTTCAAGATCTCTCCATAGCAAGAGTTGACTGCCCCGGCTTAGCTTACCAATGGACCTATACCTATGAAGATGAAGAGCAACCCTGCTTAGACGAAGAAAAATGCAATAAGAGGTCAGAACATTTTGGTAGATGTCAGTGTAACCTAGACTTCAGCATTTGCCTTTGCCAGATAAATTTAGCTACATTCGAGCCGCTGGAGATAGAAATTAGGGGCAAAACTCGTTATCTAACAGCCCCAAAATTGTTAGATTACGGCTTTGTCTCTAGACTAATTTTCACAGATCCAGATCAGACAGATAATTTTGGACACAAGCTTGCTCATGCAGTACTGTGCGTAATGGAAGAACATCATCCGTTTGTGGAAGCTTTGATAGATAGCAAACTACCAGAGTGGAAGGGAATATGGTGCAACCCAGCTAAACACAAAATGTACCTCAGAGGAACCTCTACATTTCCAGGATACCTAGGACTTCTCAATAGGAGACCCTGGCCATGCAAAAGATTTTCACTCAAAGACCAGCTCAATAAATGGAGAAAATTTGCTAGCAACTCTCTCTTAGCCTATAATGGAAATTATGGACATCTAGTCTGTGAAGATAGACATCAGAAGATACATTGTAATTTAGCCATCCCAGGATATCCATTCAGCAAAGAGACATTTGTCGATGAAAGTCAATACCCGAACTACCAGCATGGCGTCTCTCATGAATCACCAGTGATGGGAGCAAATGATCAAGAATGGAACGATGAACCACCCATGGGAGATGGGGATGACTTTTATGACCAACTCTCAGCAGCAGACCTTGACGACCTAGCAGACAGAATGTATGGGTGAAAAAAAAAATGTATGGGGACCCCCTTTTAAGCTGGTTGGTTAGGGTTCGAACGGTTGCTCTCAATTGTTTTTCTTCGTCTCGGAGCTGGTCTAGCTCTTCACTGACCTTCTTGCCTTTATCCATAATTTTCTTGAAATTTCTGGAAAGGCCTTCACAATGTCTGCACATTTGGAGAGGATTCTGAGATTCTATCTGAGGATTAGAACTACTGCTGCCTGTAATACTGCTTCCAATTGTCTGGCTAACTGGAACTCCACTGGTAGCAAGGATGGTAGATCTCATCTTGCTCAATGTGTCCAGGTAATCTTTAGCTATCTCGCTAATAAAGTAACTGGTTCCTATTTGTCTTCGGGCATAGGTACTGGCTGACTCAAAATCATAAAATCCTTTAAACTGAGGTGTGGGAAAATATTTGACTAAAGGTTCTACTTCTGTCCAATCATGGTAAATACCAGGCTTGGTTCCTTTAGCTACTACATAGAAAGAAAAACTTTTAGACAAGGGCTTGTTTTGGATTTTTGAAAAATATATACTGAGAGAGTTTAGGGCTGAAAGGCGCTTAGCTGGGTGGTTTTGGCTGGTCCAAAGGTTATCTAAAAGACACTGTTGAACTGGGTCTAATTCAATCCCTATTAAGGGTCTGAACTTGGTTCTGCCTTCATGAATGGGAAGAGAAAATCCCCCAAAGTTCATGGTCTTGCTGTTTTCCATTATCTGCACAAAAATTAAACTGGTTATCTTCTTTTTCTAAATAAATTCTTCTACTTAACCAGTCTGTTAATTTATTATCGCTTCCTTTAATATGCTCAAATTCTACTTTATATCCTTGTCCTACTATACAATTTAAAAACTTTGCCCATCTTCTAGTACTTAATTTACGCTCGTTTAGTTTGTTATGAAATCTAACTATGGCTTCACAATCTGTCCTTATTGTAAAAGGTTTGTGCAAAAATAATCTAAATTTATTTATTGCGTATACTACTCCTAGTATTTCAAAATCTAGGCTGGTCATAGTTGTATCTTTTTCTTTAAATTTTCCAGAACTGTATCTACAAATGCGTTCTTTATTTTTACAGTCATATTTACTGGGTTTAGCTAATAATATTGTTCCCCATCCCAATTGACTTGCGTCTGTTTCTACAACTATGTATTCAGATTCTAAGGGAAGTTGTAGGTCTGGTAGATTTCTACAAATGCCTTTTATTTTTCTAACTAGAGCTATATCTTGCTGATGAAATATTTCTGTCCTGTGGGTGTGGTCTTACTATAAAGAGGTCCTATTATTTTACTAAGGTTAGGAATATACATTCCTGCATAATTTAAAATTCCTAAAAAAGATTGAAGTTGTTTTGTATCTTCTAATTTATCTGGATAGTCTAAAATTTTCTTGACTATATGAGGTTGTAACCTAATTTTTCCATCTCCTAGCTCCATTCCTAAAAATTCTATGTAGGGTTTATTTAATACCATCTTTTTCTTACTGATTATTATTCCATTATTTATGAATGCTTCTAATGTTATACACAAATGATCTATGTGACTACTTTTATCTGGACTGAACACTAATATGTCATCTATATATACCAGTATAAAACTATATTTATTAAATATACTAACCATTTTGCGCTGAAATATGGAAGGTGCATTTTTTAATCCAAAAG